TGTCAAGACAGCGCCAAGAAGACCGGAGGCGAGGGAGGGCGAGGGTGAATGGCAAGGTCGAGCCAGCACCTTGGCGCTCCAGTCCACTTTCCTCGGTCAACACAGAAAATGACTGGGTAATTTTAAGCAACAACAACAACAACAATGGGGAGGGCCACAGGGGTCCCAATGTGCGCGACGTGTGACGGCATCTGGGTTTGTCACCGTACCCCGATGTTGGCATTTGTTAAGGTGCGCATTCCGATAACGCCTGCCAGAATCCGATTTGCGCGCCCCCCCCCCCTGTTGGTCCAGCGCATCTACCCCGTGGCCCGTTTGGAAGGCACAGTACAGAATGCAATACCCCCTCAACTGGCGTCCAACTTTTCGTCTTTCAATTCAGAACCGGACCCGAAGGCCGTAGCGGCTAGGGTCAGCTTATGACTTAGGCTGCCGCAACAAGTGGGATTCGATAGATAGAATTCTTCAAGTCTTCTGCTGAGTCTCTCTAGGCGATTTTGCTTTTCATTGTGACCTGCAGCCCAGTTGATCCATATTTCTGTGTTATAGGAGGATTCCTACTGAAGATTTCCCGCTGCCGTCGGATTTTTGCGTGATAGGTGATGCACCGCTGATAGGGGCCGCCATAACTTGCGCTCTTCTGAGGGTGCCCCTTACCGCAGTGATTGTAGCCAGAGCACCACAATCCTTGGGTCAATCCCCCAAGTAGCAAATGAAGACAGGGATCAAGATAATTAGAAGTTTATTGTATACAGAATCCTGGATTGCAGTCTCCCCAACAGTGACCGCCAGCGAGAGGCCAGAGCTAGGGTTCGATTGTGCACCCCGATTGGCGTGTGCTTATACATTATCAGCCGGAGTAGGGCTCCACCCCGTTATCTTCCTGCAGCCGTCCCCCTGAAGTCTTACGGTCCAGCTTCTGTAATTCATTCCCTCTGCAATAAAGAACTGTTTCCACTTGGAAGGACTGTGTTCCCCCCAGCGCTTGCTTATTTTCTGACTTTGGGACATTATAGGCGGTAGGATTGAGTGGAATAGTCTTCTCCCTAAACTCGGGTCATTAATCAAGTCAATTTTAGACAGGGGGCGGCACGATTAACGTATGTGGACGTCTAAACAGG